TATTTTAATTTATCGATTTTGATTAGATCAAAATAATAATTTACGTCGTTAGGTATCATGATCGGGAACATGATGTGTCACACACAGAAGGAAAATCAGAAGAATGAGATTCACCAATTAATTAATTAGGTTGCTTATTAATATGCCCGAATTAATTAATTAATTAATTCTTGGACCAAATTTAATTAATTTAATTAATTAAATATTGGATCAGGTTAAATTTAAGAAATGGGCGCCCGCTTGGACTTATGTTAATAAACCATTAGGTTTCCAGGAAAAAAAGTGAACAGAACATAATTCATATTCTTGCTAGCACAAGAAAAGAGGAACCCTAATTCTCTCGTTCTTGTTTCCTGTGTGGATTTTCATTGGAAGCTGGACAATTAGACAGTTGTAGATTGCAGATCGTGATTGTTCGTGTTTCAAGAATTAGCAAAGGAATTTACAGAATTTATCAAATGTATAATTTCTATCACAGTTTTTATCTAAACACAAAGCAGATCCTTGGTGGGGATTGAAAAATAATTTATTTTCTATTGTGCATGTTAAGTAAATTTCCAACAATAATGACTATGATAACTAATCAATTTTTGTAATGCGATATTGGATGGTTTAGATGATGATGCATACGACAACACTCAAGTTTTTTATGATAATGTTGACCACGAGTAATAAAGATATATTGGTAGGGTAGGTCGAGAAATGTTATATCAACAAACCTCGACCGTAGAAAATCTTTTGATATTGATAACCCAAGAATAACTAACCAAGAGGGGGGTGAATTAATTTTTGAAACTTTTTCGACAATTAGTCTCAAACTATTTGATACACAAGATATAAATGCAACTTGTAATACGAGAAGTAAATATACAAATTCTCTAACTTAATTCAAGTGTGGATATAGCACAATATAAATAGCAACTTAAAGTAAAGTGCAATAATGTAAAGATAACAAACGAATTTAATGGGGTTCGATACACAATGTGTTCCACGTCCCCGATACCAAACTCTCCGTCACAAGTAAGGCCAAATGCACTATAATGATAACTTACAAATAAGGAGTATCAATCCTTAAGTGACTTANGTCACTTAAGTAGATATAGCACAATATAAATAGTAATTTAAAGTAAAGTGCAATTATGTAAAGATGACAAACGAATTTAATGGGGTTCGATACATAATGTGTTATACGTCCCCGTTACTAAGCTCTCCGTCAAGAGTAAGGCCAAATGCACTGTAGTTGTAACTTACAAATAATGAGTATCAATCCTTAAGTGACTTACAACAAGGAGCACTTATCCTTAATTGACTTACAACAAGGAGCACATATCCTTAACAACAATCGAGTTTTCACAATGCTCTCTCGAAACCACCAAAATATAAATGATAATTTTACAAGTGAAAGAACTCACTTATTAAATGATATAATCAAGTCAAGTATTTAGAAAGTTGGGATAACATTTCAATAGATAGCAAATAATAAAGTTCAAGTGTTTATGTTGTAGACTTTGATGAATAATGGATAATGAAATAGTTTGTATCTTTATATCAAAGTTTTTAACATATGATCTCTCTTAACAAATAATACGAGTTAA